CCTTTTCATGTGTGGGCTCAACTTTCAGGCTAGCTGACATTAAGGCTCAATCCCCAACACAGCATGCAGGCTGCTGTGCAGGTGCTAAACACATGAAGTGGAATTCACCTGAGCAGAGTTAGGAGCCTGTTAATATCTCCCTGTGAAGCTTATTGGATCCTGCTACATTGTATGTAAAACTGGCTACTGGGTATATTGGTTCTAGGATTCTTTGGAGGGACTCCGGTACAGGTTAATATCAGAAGATGTCTGTCACTGACCCTGAGCAATCTGTTTGGTGCTATCAGCAATACACGTTTTTTGGTTCCCTCTGCTCATTCTGGTTGCATGTGAAAAGGACCAAACTGTGCACTAAAGTTTTCTCTTATTAGCTTCTGGTCTTGGAGCTAGTCAGGCAAAGACTCAAAATGCCAAGATATTCACCACTGCCTGCAGACTGTCTGTTACTCTCAGTCATTTAATAAGCCTCTGGCTTTAATCTTCAACATTGTATAAGTTCTTCAGGGGGAGGGTGTGAGAATTATTCAAATATATGGGGTTATTGCTACCCCTCTGAGCTGATGCTGATTGGATGGGAAAGCTCTGCCTGAGAAAGATAGCTTCTACAGTATAAGGGGATGACTCAGCACTAGAATCCTGGTGGCTGTTCTCTCAGCTTTCTCCCTAGAACCGCTAATCCCAAATTCTCCTCATGCAGCTCTAGTCCACTAAGAATTCCCTCTTCCAGAGTCCTATTTGCTGCAAATGAAACTTTGTGTCTTGGCCCTTTAAGAGGATGCCTGGCCCTGGCCAGTTTGGCTCAGCAGTAGAACATTAACCCATAGACCAAAAAGTTACAAGTTTGATTCTAGTCAAGGGCATGTACCTCCATTGTGGTTAATCCCCAGCCCTGGTTGAGGTTAATGTGGGAGGCAACCAGTTAATGTGTGCCTCACACATCAATGTTTCTCTCTTTCCCTTTCTCTCCCTCTCTATCTGAAGATAAATTTAAAAATATCCTCAGGTGAGGATTAGAGAGAAAGAGAGCGAGAGCGCCTGCATTTCTAGCCATTTCTCACGGGTGGATGGAAATCCTGCTGCTATTCACAGCTAGATGCTATGTGGGCACCTTTCATGGTTTTGGTACTCTGAGCTGGGGAGCTATTTGAAGTTTAGACCCTAGACTTCTCAGGGAGAACCTCCCACAGCTGAGATAGCTCTCTAGAACTTAAGATTCTGCCTGTGGGAACCTAGTCAGCTTTTCATGCCTCTGTACTTCCTACCAGTTTCAATGTGGCCTTCTCTTAAAATCTTTGGTCATAAGACTTCTCTCCAGCTAGTTTTCAATTAGTTATTCAAAATAATTTTTTAAATATTTTAACTGTAGTACCAGTTTGGTCCTGGGAGAAGGTCAGTGTAGCTTCCCCTAGTCCTCCATGATCTTGGAATCCCTCTCATCTTTTCTTATGGCTGAGTAGTACTCCATTGTATCTATGGAGATTATTTTAAATTAATCATATCAGAAGATCATTTTTTCTTTGGTTCTTGAATATGTGTTTGAGCATATATTTCATAACAAATTTTGTAGTTTGAAAGTGTGACTATCCTAAGATAATTAGAGAACATAAGGTATTCATTAACTTTTGTTGGTTTCTAATTGTAAGATTATTTTACAGTCATAGGTCATGTGCTTAGACCAAGACCCAATACCAGGCCCATAATATCCCAAGGGGATGTGTACCTTTCAGGCAACTCCAAAAAATTTGGGGTCCAGTAGCCCAAAGTTCCCTTGGACTTGTGACATCCTCCTGTCATAGAATCGAATTGGTAAATAAGTTACTGAGAACTATCATTCAAAATGAAAATGTGGGTAAGAGGAAAAAAGCAGAAGGGTGGCCTGGGAGGCCCACTGGAGGACTGTAAGGCATTTATTTGGTTTGGACTCATTCACAGGTAGAGGTCAGTTTGATAACTTTATAGATGGGTACCACTGAAATGTCTACCCAGGAAATGTAAGAGTACTAGTAGTTGAATTGAGAAAGGGGAAAAAGTTTGGATTCTTGGAGTTTGCTGCTAACCTTCTCCACTTTTACCACAGGTATTTACTTGGGTACTAGTTTCTTGGTCCTTGTACCTTGTTTGTCTTAATGACCCAGCTGTGTTGTCACATTGTAGGTCATCACAGCATACAATGTTTTTTGGGTAGTGCTCTTACCCGGGTCCAGTGATGAATGTCATTGATACAGTGGACAGTTAGTGCTCAATTTGGGAGCAGGGTTTTTTTCAGGTCATGAGCATATGGAAGGACATTAAAGATATATTGCAACCTATTCCATATAAAGCAAACTGATTCTGATTATCTGTTTGTACAGAGATCCCAAAAAGGACATTTGTAATATCAGTTGCTACATACCTACTTTTCTAGCAATGAACTTCTATGAAGGTCACAATACTAAATGAAGCCAGTGTCCAGAGTTCTATGTGACACTGAGCCAACAATAACCAATTGAATCTCTAGGTATCCAAGTTCTTAAATACAGAATGAAAGTGCTTATGAATAGAGAAACAGTTTCATGAAGAACTTTTGTTTTATTAAGCTCAGCAATAAGTGCAAATATTTCTTTTGCTTCCCAAGGTTGTTGTTTTGAATAGCAAAGGTGCTAGGCATTGTTAGTCTAGTAGGTTTTTAGTTTTCCACATTCCCCACTAAAAAGTCCACTAACATGAATTCCCATCAGAGAATTAGGGTTTATGTGTGAAAGCAAGTGAGGTGCACTTAGAAAATACATATATACCAATAATACATTTAGCAGTGAGAGCCATAATAATGGAGATTTTTAGTGGACTGTAGAGACACATTCATAGTTGGATTTGGGTAAGGTTCCTATTTTGTGAGTTCACACTTAAAACCAATGAGCATTATTTTACTTTTATCTTTGTGTTAGTGGTTATGGAGTTCACTTTTATATGTACACCAGTGTCCAAAATGCCCAGATGCAGTTCTCACCCATCTCCCAACAGAATTTTGACCTTGGCAAATATCCTCATGTCCCAAATGGGGATGTAGTGACCTTGGCCTAATCCTGTTTCTTGTTTGTATTGAAAGCTGAAATGTCTCTTATTCATCTTAAGATTCACTAGGATGTGCAGAAGGAAGAACACTTGTGTTTGTTTTTGATGCTATCGCCATTTGGGTCACCTATGGATCACTACCTGGACATGAGTTCTTTGGTGGAGGTTCTATCAATGTCCTCTTGAGATCTCATTGTTGAGTAACTAGACCTAGATATTTCCTTAGAAAGAATCCAGATCATCCATCCAATAATCCAGATGTGGGTTCCCGGTTACACCATTTTTAGGTCACTCTGTTTACTGGTCAAACATTGTTATCTAACAGTAACAGGATTTTATTTTCATTTTATTATTATTATTGTTGTCCTGAAATTTGTCAGTTAAGATCTGGATTGTCTTGTAAACCAATTGACTTCACCTTATAAGGAGATATAATTGAGCTAAGAAACCATAGAAGGTGGCACAAATGACACTAGAAATCTGAGCTAGTTAACAATCTCATCATCCACTATTATCATTACTGGTTGTTGAACCAAAGGATCATCAGATGGACTCACTTGGCATGTTGCAGGTGGCTATGCAGTTGGTCAAAATAACTTTTTCAGTGTCAGGATACTCATCACAAGTGGACCAAACCTAAGAAAGGACCTAAGCACAGAGAGGGGATCAAGTGTTCACATCATTGCCCCCCCCCTGCTTTCTTGTCTTTCTTGGGAAAAGTGGCCTCTGTTAGGGCACTTTGAATGAGGAGATCTGTTGTAATACATCCCGTCACTAAGTTTCACAAGTTGCCTTCTTAATGATGGAAACAAACTACCCCAGTCTAAATGGTCTTCTCAAGTGACTGAAAAAGTTTTCTTGAGGGATCTACATACATTTCTCTAAAAATTATTCACAAAATTTCACTGTATCATAGGCTTTCCATCAGTGACAGGAACATGCTTAGGGCTAACAACAGTTGTTGGGCACAATTCAACAAGCACAGTCTGCAATGACTGTTAACAAACTATTTTCTAGCTTATCCTGTCTGTGTTTCATTTGTAAAGGTAATTATGTCTATTTTTATTTTCTTTCTGAAACATAACATAATAGATATACTATCAATTTTTTATTCCACTAAACATTGTGTTCTAGAAATTTCTTCAAGTCAGTTTGATGGAATCTTTTTCATTCCTTTTACAGTTGTATGCAGAGTTGTTTATAACATACTATAGACCATAGCTGGTATTACCATAGTTTATAGTATATACTTTAGTTTATTAAACCAATATGCTACATTCACACATATATGTGGTTTTGAGTATTTTGTGATTACAAATATTCTGTAATGAACAATCCTGTGCGAATAAATTTTCATTGGTTAGTCTATAACTATGTTATAACCTAAAATATTAAGGAAATTAAGAGAGACTAAATGGAAACATATATGAAGCCTATGAATATTAATGAAATAACAAGACAGTTTCAATATACATCCATTAAAATTTTTCTACCATTTACATATCAAGTCTAGCATTATGTTAATTTACTGATACTTTTTTAAAGTGAGGGAATATGCCCAGGCTGATTTGGCTCAGAGGTTAGAGCATGGTCCAGAGAGACCCAGGTTCAGTTCCCTCTAAGGGCACATACCTCAGTTGCAGTTTGTCCCAGGCCCTGGTTGGGTTGTGCGGGTGACAGCCACTCGCTGTGTTCCTTTCATGTTGATCTCTCTCTCTCTCTCTCTCTCTCTCTCTCTCTCTCTCTCTCTGTCTCCCTCTTACTCTCTCTCCCTTCCACTCTATCTGAACAAAAATGGAGAAAATGTCCTCTGGTGAGGATTTAAAAAAAATGTTAAAAAAAAAAAGTGAGGGAATATGCTGCTGTACATTTGTCAATAACTTGAAAGCATGGAATTCACAATATATCTATATTTTTTTATTTATTGACCTAAATGACCCTCTATATAGATCATGGTCAAGTACCAGATGAGAATCCTGTGCTTGAGCATCAAGGTTCAATGTCAAACACCCAATTGCAAGTAAAGAAACACAGACTTTCTAAAGGAGGAAGACTCAATAGTAAGTATAATTATTATAGGTAACTTGAAATTATTTTAAACTCATCAGAAGATCATTTTCTCTGATTCACAAAGCATATATTTTATAAAAATCTTACATCTTGGCTTACAGTGTAAATATCCTAAAATAACTATAGAACAAAGGCAAATATTCATACACTCTGGCTATTTCTTGTCCCATGGTTATTTTATGGTCATAGGACAACTACTCAGTATCTATAAAGGCCCTGTAAGAGGCTAGTAAATATCTCTGAAAGGGTATGTGCCTTTCAGCTGACTCCTGGAGATATGAGTTTGAAAGCCCAAAGGGGTGCTTCTGACCTGTGTCAGTGGCTTTCTATTATAACATCCAATAGTGAACAGAGATGTTGTTGCATTCTATAATTCAAAGAGTACATAGAGATTAAAAGGGAATGGGGGAAGGGAAGTTTGGTGGCCTGTTGGAAGGTCTTCAGACATCCCCTTGACCATGGCCCCACTGAAAGAAAGCATCCTTTCTAGTTATCCCTTAGATAGTTGCCGTCATGGACTCTACCTGAGGAATATGAGAGTTTAAGTCACTGAATTGTCCCACCAATCACTGGGACTTCTTTTATTTGTTGAAGAGGAGGTCTAGAGCTTGGCACTCTTCTCTGGAATGATATGCCATGCTTCTCACTGATTATACTTAGGAATTTTATTAGTGTACCAGGAAATTGTACCTTGTCTGTAATAACAGCCCCACTGAGTTGCCACATGCACGTCTACAGAGAATCCAGTTTTTGTTTAGTGGTGCCCATGTTGTGCCCACTAAAACAATGTCATCAATAGAATGGGAGTCCATTGCTCCCTTGGATAGTGGAATTTTCATATCCTTATTTTTGTATTGATGACAGATATTCAGAGAATTTTGGTAGGCTTTGGGATGTATAGTACTTGTGTATGGCAACCCAATGCACAAAATGTTATGCTAATCATAATTATCTACAACAAAGGGTTGCTGAAAAGAGTACTTGTGACATCAGTTCCATACCAAGTTTCCTGAAGTTTGTACAATTACCTGTATCACAATCACATCAGATATCGTAGGTGTACGTGATCTACTACAACACTGAGCTGCATATATCAATTGAGTTTCTATGTATCCAGAATCATGGGCACAGTTTGGCTGAGTTATTGAGTAGTTAAAAAGTTTCACAGAGAACTTTTATTTCATTAAACTCAGCAATTAGAGCAGCCCCCCCACCCCACCCCGCTCCCTGAGGCAGGTGTTTTGGAATAAAAGGAACTGGGTACTAGTAATTGGATAGGTTTGTAGTCTTTCACATGTCAACTAAAATGGCTCTAACTGCAGCAATTCCCATCATAGTTGAAGGTTTAATACAAAGCAGGGATTCGTATTGACAATTAATCTATTTAATAATGCATATATTAGGGGGTCATAAAAATGGATGAAGTTTGTAATGATTTAAAGGGACATACCCATAGTTGGATCTGAGTAAGGATTGCATTGGTAATGACCTCAGACCAAATGGGACACTTATTCAGATCTTGTACCCTTAGTTGAATATTATACGTTTCCTCTTCATTGTAGAGTCAGGAGTTATGGTGATCTGTCACATAGTAACAGTATCCAAAAGTCTGAGTAAATGCAATACATTTTTACCTCTCCATTAAAATCTGACCTTAGTGTAGGTTCTCATATTCCCACTGAAGACAGAGAGTTTTTGATAAAGGTTGGTGAATACTCAGATTCACATCAAGGTTCAGTGGAAAGAACTGAGCAATAGAACTTACATTAGTCATAGGGGGTCTTTGCCATGTGGACCCTAGTTTGGCTATCTTTTGGGTGGGCATACCTTAGCCCACTACCAGGCCATGAGTTCCTTGGAAGAGTGTCCATCAACTTACTTCTTTGATACTCCATTATTGGATCTCCACCCATAGATTTCTTTTTCCTAGAAGGCCTTTGCCTACATTGTCCAGGAGTAGGTGAATGGTTACAATATTTACATTGTTTTCACTGTTCATCAATCATTGCTATCTTATCAGTAACTGGTATTTCATGTCTGACATTTTTTCAGTTAATATTCAAATTGTGTAATGCCCAGTGACCTTATGAGGGGATTAATTGAGCTTTATGTCCAGTAAGGGTGGCATGAATGAATTTAGAAATCTGAGTCTGGTTAAAAATTTCATCATGTACTGTCCTCATTCCATCAATCTTGACCCTAAGACTACCAGTGTCACTCATAGGGACACTCTCACTTCTGCAATGGTGGTATAAGCATGTTAAGTGGCAGAAAACTCATAACTGCTGGGCCATCCTGTCAGAGCCAACATAGGCCACAGCTGAGGAAGGACAGTGTCAGATGTTTGCTTTCATTCATCCCCCACTGTTTTCTAGCTCTTTGGCCAGCAGGCCACTGTTAAGCTTCTCTGAAGAAGGAGTTCTGTAGTGAGAAACCTGGTAATGTGCCCTTCCCTTTCACTAAGTTTAACAAGATTACTTCCTTTCAAGGAAGGCAAACTACCTGTCTTTAAGATCTCATTTGCTGCTGGGCAAAGTGATCCTATAGCTCTCATTCTTTTTTATTAAAGCACAAGCCTCAATAATTTGCTGTGTTGTGAGTTGACCAGCAATTTCAGGAGTTTGATCAGAGATAACACTAGTAATTATGTATAACTTGGCATGCAGGGTCTCCAACAACTTTAGGTCCCATTGTTGGTGGACCATAAGTAGTAGCCACAAATTACTTCCCTAGCATTCTCAGGGTCCTTCTATTGACTCTCTAATTTGACCCAAAAGATACCTTGGTTTCTCCTCAAACTGAAACATTTAGGTAAATAATAAAATATCACTCTCCTAGAGCACCCTGAATGGTCTGTTAGAACTTTCTAAAATACATTGACCTAACTGCCAAAGTGTCCTAGGGAGCTTTCTGACTCTAATTATCCTATAGCATCCCCTATCATACCCCCAAAATCCCATGGATTTTATAGCAACTCCCATGTACCTTCCAAAAAGATATTGGGCTTTATTAACCCTGCTTACTGCTTCAATTTGTACAATTCATTAACAGTAAAGGGCCCTAGATACACCAGTGTGCCATCCAGTTACCCACAAAACCTGCAAGGTACGGGGGCACCAGAGAGGCCTGTGAAACCCAGCTGCACACAAGATAGGTAGAGAGGATGTAAAAATGGAGGCAGAGTGAATAGAAGCTACACAGACTATCTCCCTGGACCTAACTGGAATTACAACAAAAATATACACATATCCTTGAAAAAAAAAAAAAAAAAAGCAGCAGGACAGGACCATATAACCAAGGACACTGGTAGGATCTGCTAAGGCACAAGAGGGTGGCGGGCTGAGAGCCCACTGACAGCAGCATTCTTAGCTGTGAGCAGCGCCCTTGCGGAATAAAAACCAAGCCGACTCCATAGTGCAGAGAGCCAAGACAGAGTGCTAAAATAGCCATAGCCACCCACCTGGGGGATACGGCAGAGGGAGGGCAGACTGGGCGGAACACTGTGAGGACAATCAGAATTTGGACGGCACTCAGAGTTGTTGCTGAGTTGCGGCCACAAAGGACAGTGGCCAGTGTGCTCCTACCCAGAGATGTGGGGAAAAGCAGCAGCCTTCCCCTTGGAGATTCAGCCTTTCCCAGGTGAGACAAAGAAATGCAAACTGAGGCTTATTAACAACCAGCATCTAACCTACTCTCTGGAAATCAACTTATGCAGAACACCAGAGCTACATTCTAAGGCACTGAGTAACTGAGACTGCTAGACTCCAGGAAAAAACTACAGGATAACTGAACTTTATCTGGGCTTGCAAATCTACCCAGGAAAGTAAGACTTGAGAGTTGTGTTCAATGTGGGCCCAACCAGACTCATCAAAACCCAGTAGAGAAAGCAACAAACAGAAGAACACCAACATCTACAAGGAAAATTTGGCAGGCTCTAAAACCCACTGAGATAGCAAAAATGGTGAAACAAAGAAACAAATTCTAAATGAAACAATAACAGAACTCTAACGAAGATGAGATCAAGTAAATTCAGTTAAGCAAATTATCAGAGGTAGAGTTCAGAGCCATGATCTTGAGAAAGTTCAACAGCATGAATAAGGACATCAGCACCATGAGTAAAGATATAGAAATATTGAAAACCAATCAAGTGAAAATGAAGAATGACATAGCAGAAATTAAAAACACATTGAAAGGACTAACCAGCAGAGTAGAGGAAGCTGAGGACCAAATCAGTGAATTAGAAGACAGGGTAGAAAAAAATCAACCAATTAGAAAACAAAAAGGAGAAAACATTTACAAAACAGGAAGATAGCATATAAGAATGTTGGGACAATGGAAACATAATACTAGCAAATCGAATCCAGCAATACATCAAAAAAATTATTGACCATGACCAGTTGGATTATTCTCAGGGATGCAAAGCTGGTACAATATTTGCAAATCAATAAATGTGATATGCCACATAAACAAAATGAAAGATAGAAGTCATATGATCATATCAATAGATGTTGAAAAAACATTGGACAAAATACAGCACCCATTTCTGATAAAAATGCTCAGCGATCTGGGAATAGAGGGATCATATCTCAATATAATAAAGGCCATATTTGAAAGACTACAGCCAACATGATACTCAGTGGGCAAAAACTAAAAGCATTCTCTCTCAAGAACAGAAACAAGACAAGAATGCCCACTTTCGCCACCTTTATTTAACACAGTGCTAGAAGTCTTAGCCAAGCAATCAGACAGGAAGAAAAAATAAAAGGAATCCAAATGGGAAAGGAGGAAGTGAAACTGTCATTATTCGCAGATGACATGATACTATACGTAGAAGACCCCAAAGACTCCATCAAAATTTACTAGACTTAATAAATGAATTTGGCAAAGAAGCAGGATACAAAATTAATGTCAACATATCGGCGGCATTCTTATACACAAACGATGAACTAATAGAAAGAGAAACTAAAGAAACAATCCCATTTACCAAGGCAGCAAAAAAATTAAAATACCTAGGAATAAACTTAACCGAAGAAATACAGGACCTATTCACAGAAAACTACAGGTCATTGAAAAAATAAATAGAGAAAGATATATAAAAGGGAACTCTAGTACACTGCTGGTGGGAATGCAGAATGGTGCAGCCACTATGGAAACAATATAGTGTTACCTTAAAATAATAAAAATTGAAATTCCATTTGACCCAGTGATCCCACTTCTAGGAATATACCCTAAGAAGCCTGAAACACCAATCAGAAAGAATATATGTACCCCCATGTGCATAGCAGCCCTATTTACAATAGCTAAGATCTGAAAACAGCCCAACTATCCATCAGTAGACGAATGGATACAAAAGCTGTGGTACATATACACAACGGAGTACTGTGCTGCTGTGAGAGAGAAAAATTTCTTATCCTTTGAGATGACATGGAGGGACCTGGAGAGGATTATTCTAAGTGAAACAAGCCAAGAAGAGAAAGCAAATATCACTTGAACTCACTTATTTATGGAATAAAATGAACATAACAGTCTGAGGAACGGAGTATTCTCAGAGATGTGGAATTGGGGTACAGACTGGAATTGAGGATGTGGTCGGGGAGAGATCAACCACAGAAGTATATGCATGTATGCATGACCAATGGACATGGACAACAAAGCTGGGGACATGGCAGGGAGTGTGGGGGAGGGGAATCAGTGGGGGGAAAAGGAGAAACATCTTTAACAAAAATAAATTAATGAAATTTTTTTAAAAAGTAAAAATCGCCCAAGAATATTGGAGACTAATGTAAACTATATATAATGCTGAGAAATAGTAAGAAAACTTAAACAGATGTCTACTAAAACTCTTCTCACACAAACATTTTCAGTTCTAGCACTATGGCAATTTAGTTATACCTTCATAAAAATGAGTGTTGTTGTATACTTGTTATAAATTTGAAGTATAGTTTTTCCATAATAGATCTATTTTTCTATTTACTGACTAAATATATCTCTTATGTAGCTTATGCTACATTACCAGATGAAAATCGTATCCTTGAGAATGAAGAATCAATGACAAAACCCCAAATGCAAGAAAAGAAACAAAGAACCTCTACAGAGAAAACTCTCACTGCCAGTAAGTATAAGTATTATAGATAACTTTAAATTATTTTAAGTTAATTACAGCCAAAGGTTTTCTACTTTGCTTTGTGAATCTGAGTTTTGCTATATATTTTACAGAAGATTTAACCTTTGACCCAAAATATAAATACTTGAAGAAAACTAGAGAATAAAAGCTAAAGTATTCATAACTTTTGGCTAATATTTCTGGTCATTTGCTCAGGTATTTTCCAAAGCCACTGACAAACCAATAATTGTCCTTCAAAGTGTGTGTACCTTTCAGTCAACTGCAGGAAGTTAGGAGTCAAGAAGTCCAATTTAATTTTCTTTTTGTGCATTTGCCTTCTTTTTTTTATTTGTAAAGAGAAATTGCTGAAACCTGCAAAATATATTCAGATCAGGGTCGTCAAGGAGAAAAGTGTCATGGAGGTCTGTGGAAGAGCCTCCAGAGCATGTTGGTTGAAATACACTGAATTGTGAAGGCCTTTTTGGGAACTTAATAGATGCCTGCGATCAGTATCCCATTGAGGGGAATGTGAGAATACCCATAGCAGAATAATTCAACAAATTTCCAGGCCTCTTTTGTACTTGTTGGACTAAGAGGGACAAACATTTGGCAGTTGTTTCCTCTAGAATGAGATATATTGCCTCTTCCCAGGGATTTTACTTGGGTACAAGGTCCTTGTATCATGCCCATATTAATGACCCTACTGTGTAAATTAATGTGGGTCAATTTAGCATCTAATCCTTGTTGTGTAGGAGCCTTGCCTGGGCCCACCAGGAGGGTGTTATCAATATAGCAAAATGCTAGTGCAGTGTGAGAGTAGGACCTCTTCCAGCTCATGGCCTTGTGGAAGGCCATGAAAGGTATATTGCAACCCATTGCACAAAAGACAAACTGCGCCTGTTTGTGTGGACAGTGATGCTGAAAAGGGCATTTGCGATAAGAATTGCTTCATAATTACTTCTAACGTCTTCATCAAGAGCCTCTATGGCAGTCAAAATGTCAGGTAACAATAGTGTCCTGGGCTGTACCACAGAGTGAAGTTGGTCTATAAGCACTCAAGACTTTATGCACAGTTCAGCTTAGTTGTTGAATTGGATAGAGTTAATGGTCTCATGGAGATCTTTGTATAATTTTAACTCAGCAATGAAAGCAGTAATTTATTTTTCTTCCCCAGGTGGTTGTTTGTGAAGACAAGTCTCTAGACACTGGCAGTCTGGTAGATTTACAGTCTTCCAGTGCCTCACTAAAATGATCATAACTGATCAAAGCTCAGAGCTGATCTGAGTTATAATTCACATAGAAAATACATCTATGCTAATAATATATTCAGTCATGGAGGCTATAAAATGGAGGTTTATAGTGCCCCAAAGCGATTCACATATGATCAGATCTGGGTAAAGGGCAGACAGCATTACTTATTTCCCTTTCATCCTGTTCTCAGAGTTGTGGCAATCACAGTCACTAGTATCCAAGGGCCGAAGTTTCGCAATTTCCCCCCAATGCCTCTTTGAATTCGGACTTGGCATGCATCCTCAGATGCCACTGGAGACATAGGGACCTTCGTCCAATCCTTAATCTTGTTTATTTCTGAAAGCTGAGAGCTCTGGGTAAATGTAGACAGAGTTTTCTGATTTATCTTAAGATTACAAGGAGGGGCAGAGGGAATAGCATTTGTATTAGTAATAAGGGCTATCACTACTTTAATTCTTGTGGGTCTATGTGTTGGATCCACCATGGCTCACTGCCAGTTCACAGGATTCTTCTCCTTGTGACTCCATTGCTGAGTAACTAGACAATGGTTTCAGTGGCAGCAAACTCATCATGCATTGGTCAAACTTTTCAGAAAACAAATGGCAGCCAGTATAAGTGTCTCAATTTTAAGTGTGTTTTTGTTTTTTTCCTCTGTCCCCTTTCTTGTCCTCCTTGGCCAAACTGGCCACTGCAGGTAACTCAGATCCAGAGGGTTTGTCATGACACACCCAACAAGGTGCCACTGTCTGGCCCTCGCTAAGTTAATAAAATTACCTCCTTTATGGCGGAGGCACACTGCTCAAGTCTCAAAAGTTTTCTCGGGTTGCTGGTAAGGTAAAACCGAGAAATCTGCATTCTTTTCATTAAACGCCAATCTCAAAAACTCACTGTGTCTATCAGTACCAGCCTGTCCACCAGTGGCAGAGCCATGCTTAGAGCGAACAACAGTCACTGGGTACAGCTCAGCTAGCAGTGTCTGCAGTATCTTTCGGTGACCAACTAATCTGTTTCTCGTTTATATTTTCTGTATTTTATATTTGTAAAGGTCAGTATCTCTCCTCATTTTTAGTTCCTACTTTTCTTTCTTTCTTACTTAAAAGATAACATACAAGATATCCTCTCTTTCAGGTTTTTTCCCTCCACTAAACATTATTTCATTAGAAATAACTTTAAATTATTTTATAGGTATCTTTTTTTATTATTTTTTATACTTGTATGTAGAGCTGTTTGTACTACATTATATCCCACAGTTTATAGTATCATAATTTACATATCTTACTTTAGTCTACCAATCTCCTATGCTTGTACATTTAGATAATTTTGAGTATTTTGCAATTACAACTATGCTGTAATAAATATCCCTGCACATATATATTTTTGTTGTTTGGTCTATGGATATGTAATAACTGAAAATATAAAAAAAATTGAGTAAACTAGAGGCTAACATAAAATTTGAAGATCAGGGATATTAATGGTATAACAATAACTTCTACACACACTTATTAAAATTCTTCTCACGATTTTTGTATCAGGTCTAGCATTATGGTGATTTACTTATAATTTTATGAAAATGAGAGAAGAAGCTTCTGTATACTTGTAATAAATTTTAAATCTAGAGATTTAACAATAGATTTCTGCTTAGTTTATTGGACTAAATGCTTCTCTTTATGTAGCTCAGGATAAAGTACCAGATGAAAATCGTATGCTTGAGCATCAAGACACAGTATCGAAATCAGAAATTCACATGAAGAATCAAAGGACTCACAAAAAGAAAGGACTTACTAGTAAGTATAAAAACTACAGATAACTTTAAGATATTTTAAAATAAACTCATTTTTATTTTGGTTCATGAATGAATATGTATTTGAAAATATGTTTACAGAAGTTGTATACTTTTACTAAACTATGAATACCCTACAATAACTAGAGGAACTAACAAGCAACAAAATGGATATATTTTGGTTGACATTTCTGGTCTTAAAGATCATTTCATGACAACAGGACATGTACTCAGTATCCCCAAGGCCCAATAGCAGATGCATAATTATTTATCTAAAACCACGTGCCTTTCGGCTGATTCCAGGTATTTATTGGTACAAAAGCCCAGTGTAGCCCGACAAGCGTGGCTCAATGGATTGAGTGTCATCCCATGAACTGAGAGGTCCCAGTTTGATTCCTGGTCAGGGCACATGCTTGGGTTGTGGGTTCAATTCCCAGTAGGGGGCATGCAGAATGCAGCCAATTAATGTGTCTCCTTCACATCAATGTTTGTATCTCTCTCCCCCTTGCTCTTTCTCTAAAGAGAAAAGTCAGTAAGAACATTAAAAAACAAAAACAAAAGCCCAATGTATGTATCCCACAGTGCAAGTGGTCTTCTGCCATAGGCTCTAATTGCCAAACAGATGTTTCTGTGATCTGTAATTCCAACATCAAATGGAGGTTAGAAGATCCTAGGGGAAGAATAGTCTAGGAAGTCTATCACAGGGCCTCTATGGCATCTTCTTGATACTATCCTCTCTAAAAGGAAGCAGCCTTTCTGGTAACCCCATAAATACGGTCACCAAGGGCCACACATGGAGGAAATGAGAATGCAAGTAGTCAGAATCCCACTAATGACTGGGCCTATTTTTATTTGTTGGAGTTGAGTGGGGCCAGAGTTTGTTGGCAGTCTTCTCTTCTGGAAGGAGATGTCATACCCCTTTGAGATCATGCCCAGGAGTTTAACTAGGGCGCCTGGTAATTATACCTTGTTTGTACAATGGTACAAACCATTGGCTCACCAGGGGCCTAGCCCAGAACTGTTCAACAGGGCATCTAGTTTTTGGTGGGTGGTGTCCTTGTGTAGCCCACTTGTGTGAAGACTAGTCCTCCCTCTGGGAACCAGCCATTTATAGATCATGGCCTCATCACTGATGCTAGATAATTGAGCAATTTTGTAGTCACATGAAGGATATTAGTAGTTTACTGCAACTCATTCTACATAAGGTTAAACTGATCCTGGTAATTTGTGTGGAGAGGGATGCAGGAAAGGGCATTTGAGATGCCAGTTGTTGCGTATCAAGTTTCTTTTGTTTGGAAAATGGTCTGTATGAAAGTTACAATGTCAGGTACCACCACTGCCCAGGGCTATTACTATAGCATTGACTTACCAAAATCAAATGAGTCCCTATACATACAATGCCATGTGTTAAAGGTCAACTTAGTTATTAAAATGGAAAGTAGTCTCACCTAGAATTTTGCTTCATTAAGCTCAGCAATAAAAGCTGTTGTTTTGTTTCTTCCCTAGGAATTTGTGTTATGAGACATCGGTGCTAGGCACTGTGAGTTTAGAAGTTTGCAGTCTTCTATATACCCCACTAAAATGCCCCTAAATATAGTAGTTCCCATTAGGGCTTGGGCTAAATGCCAGTGGGAATGCACATAGAAAATACATCTATACCAATATACATTAAGTAATGGGGGCTATAAAAATAAAGATTTGTGGTGGTCTGAATGGATTCGCTTAGTGGTATGATGACCTCCGATGAGAAACTAGAGAGCTTGTCTCTTTCTCCTGGGACCTGGTGTTAGAGGTTATAGAGATCACAATCACCTGTGCACCAGTGTTCCACCAGTTCTAGAACTCAATTTCCTCCCACTCCACTTTGAATTCTTACATTGGCATCCATCCTCAAATCACCACTGGTGACATAGAAAAATTGACCTAATCTTTAATTTTGTTTATTTTCAAAAGCTGAGAGATCCGGGTAAAAGTAGAGGAGGATCCTCTGATCTATCTCAATATCACTTGGAAGAGCAGAGGGAAGAGCACTTGTATTAGTCATAGAGGTCACCATAATTTGAACTTTAGTGGGGATGTATTGAGACCCATGGCCTAACTATCTTGCCAGTAGATCTTTGGTGGGGACTCTATCAATGTCCTCCTGGAGATCCCATTGTTGAGTAACTACACCCAGAGATTTCTTCATCAGAACCCTTTACCTGATTGTCCAGGAGTGGATGCCTGATTACTGTTTTTAGGTTGCCTTGTTCACTGGTCAAACAGTACTATCTGATTAGCAGCTATTTTTTCCTTGCCTGAAAATTTGTCATTTAAGATAAAGATTATGCTGCAAACCAATGGACACCACTTTATAAGCAGGTCTAATTGAGCTAAATAACCAGCAAAGATGGCCCAAAGGAAAGTAGAAATCTGAGTCTGGTTAAAAATTTTATTATTACTGTCTATACTCTATGTGACTGTAGATATTATAAGGTGGGTCATAGAGCCTTGCAGCGGGTCTCATCCTATGGGTCACAACCCCTTTGGGGGTCAAATGACCCTTTCACAGGGGTCACCTAAGACCATCGGAAAACACATATTTCCAGTGGTCTTAGAAACCGAGACACCGCTCCTCTGTCCGTTTGCAGGTGTGTCCGCGCACATGCAGATACGCCTACATACAACAGGAGGAACTATTACAGGGTCACAGCATTAAGAAGATTGAGAAACACTGTTTTATAGTCCCAGAGATGTGTAAGTGGGGTGCAAATTGACAATCCCCTAAAGAGGGGGGGTTGGGGGAGAGATAAACCACAGAACTTATACGCATGTATGCATGAACAGTGGACATGGACAACAAACTGGGAAAAGGGCAGGGAGGGGGGCAGAGGGGGGATTCAGTGGGGAGAAAAGCAGAAACATCTGTAACAAAAATTAATCAATAAAAAAAATAAAAAAATCAATAAAAATAGAAAAGAAGAAGAAAAAAAAGAGAGAAACACTGTTTTAGAACCTGTGAAAAAGATGACCCCAAACATTTTTTTTCAGTGGCAGGGAATGCATAATGAGTTGACCATCCTGTTGGAGCCCAAAGAATACCCAGCTATGGGAGAAGGAGCTCAGATGTTCATGTCTTTCATCCCCCTTTTTCTCTAACTCCTTGGGAAATATGGTCACTTTCAAGTTTTACAATGTGGTTCTACAATGATAAGCCCTAAAATGTGCCCCTCTTCATCTCTAAGTTTGAAAAGATTACATCATTCTTCATGACAGCAAAGAAACTTATTGTCTAAAATCTTTTTGAGTTGCTGGGCAAGGCAATCCTTAGAACTCCCATTCTTTTTCATTAAAGTGCAAGTCTTAATAACTCACAGCACCATAGGTGGATCATTATTTCCAGGGGCCTGGTAGAGCTAAAGTAGTCATTGGGTGCAACTCTGCATGCAGGATCTCCAATTTTTTTGGACCCATTAGTATCCACAAAATTGTTTCTCTAGTTTTCTCAGAGCCCATCTCTTGGATCTTTCATACGACTTATTGGACATCTTGGTAGGTGAATCAGATTCTAAAGAAAAATACATAACTGAAAACCTTATGTAAACAATGCAGCAACACCCCGTGATTCAGTCTAGTATGATGGTATATTTCAAGAACTTATCCATTTCTTCCAGGATAATGAATTTGGTGGCATATAGACTTTCATAGTATTCTAGCGTGATCCTTTGTATATCTGTGATGTTTGTGGTAACTTGTCTTTCATTTCTAATTTTGTTGATATGAGTCTTTTTTAATTTTAATTTTTATTTGCATGACATTTTATTTATTCTGAATAAATTCAGTTTTTTATATTAATTAATTTATTGGGCTAATACGAGTTAACAAAATTACACAGGTTTCAGGTGCACAATTTTACAACACATCATCTATACCCTGTATTATGAGTTTTTTCTTTCTCCTCTCTTAGTGAGATAGCTAGGGGGTTGTTAATTTTATTAATCTTTTCAAAGAACCAAGTCATTTTTGCATTAATTTTTTTTGGATAGTCTTTTGTTCTTTATTTCATTCATTTTTGCTCTACATTTTTTTAAATTAATCAATTTATTTTTGTTACCGATGTTTCTCCTTTTCCCCCCATATATTCCCCCTCCCCACCCTCCCTGCCCTGTCCCTAGCTTTGTTGTCCATGTCCATTGTCCATGCATACATGCATTTAAGTTCTGTGGGTTATCACTGCCCCAACACCCACTCTTCTGGGGATTGTCAACCTGTACACCACTTCCACGTCTCTGGGACTACCCCATTCCTTAGACTGTTATGTTCATTATATTCCACAAATAATTGAGATCATATGATACTTGCCTTTCTGTGTTTGGCTTGCTTCACTTAGGATAATACTTTCCAGGTCCCTCCATGTAGTCTCAAAGGATAAGAGATCTTTCTTGTTACAGCTGCGTAGTGCTCCACTGTATATATGTACCACAGCTTTTTGATCCATTGGTCTACTGATGGACACTTGGGCTGTTCCCAGATCTTAGCTATTGTAAATAGTGCTGCTACAAACATAGGGGTAGATATATTCTTTATGATAGGTGTTTCAGGCTTCTTAGGGTATATTCCTAGAAGTGGGATCACTGGATCAGGTGGAAGTTAAATTTTCAATTTTTTGAGGTAACACCCTATTGTTTCCACAGTACCTGCACCAGTCTGCATTCCCACCAGCAGTGTACTAGAGTCCCCTTTTCTCCACACCCTCGCCAACACTTTTTGTTTGATGATTTGTGGATGGCGGCCTTTCTGACAGGTGTGAGGTGATACCTCATTGTTGTTTTAATTTGCATCTCTCTGATGATTAGTGATGTTGAGCATTTCTTCATATATCTCTTAGCCATTTGTATGTCCTGTTTGGAGAGGTGTCTATTTAGTTCCTCTGCCCATTTTTAATTGGATTCTTTGTCTTCCTTTTCTTGAGTTGTATGAGCACTCTCTATATATTGGAAATTAACCCCCTATCTGATATATCAT